CACATCCTGGACAGAGAGGAACGATGGTTTGAGAGAGGAGTAAAGGAGGCCATCTTTGTGAAAAGAAATCGTCCATCATTAAACAGGGGTGGAGGCCTCCGGGTTCAACTGTCCCCCTCTTACAATGCTGTGATTGCTAGTATCACTCAGCCCTCTGTGAATAGTAAACAGCCATCAGTGTGCTAATGATCCATTGTTAGGCTGATGGTCCTTCTTGAGCATGTGATCAGCTGGTTTTGGTTGTCAGCAGCTAAACTGGTTGATCCACTCTGAGAAGGTGCTATTTAAGAGACTGAGCTGAATACAGCACCTCAGACTGAAGAATTCTCTTGGATGAGAGACGAAACGTTTCTACATTTTTTGTTGATTTGCTTTGTTTTGTTTTTTTGAATGTCCAGAGGACCAGATTTAACTTTTTTAGATTTTTCTACCTGGATTATTGAGCATGCATCAGGATAAATTGTCCCTAGGTGTGAGTGAGAGAGTGAATGGTTGTTTGTCTCGTTTGTCTCTATGTGTCCCTGTGATGGACTGGAGACCTGTCCAGGGTGTCCCCCGCCCCTCGCACAGTGATTGCTGGACATGGGCACCGGCGACCCCCATGACCCAAAATGGAAGAAGCGGGTAAAAGATAATGGATGGATGGATGTTAAGTAGTCTTCACAAAGGTAGTGTGTTTTTCCAGACGTGTGTTGAACTTTGTGACCTGCATCTTTTGAGCAGTGAAAAAACTGTTTTCATCATAGTTATTCTATTCTCAGACAAATCCGATCTAGGTCACATTTAATGAGCGTACGGTAAATAAAGAATTGCAAAGACCTTAAAAACCTTTAGAGCAGCACCAGCATTATTTCAAAGATGAGATCCTGGAATATTTGGAGGTTTCATTGGGATGAATGAAAGGATCACCCTGGGGCTTTGTCAATATAACCTTCTGTGTTTACTTTAAATGTAACATAATAATGAACTGCTGAAGAAAGAATATGATCAGTGGACTGTAGTTCACCTCTAAACCTGCTCAACGTGAGATTGTCCTACATGAAGAATTTGCCCTGAGGACAGATTAGTGACAACTTTGCCTTCAGGCTTCTAAAAATTCTCTTTTTCATCTTAATAATGTGAATTGGTGTGAAATAAGTGACACATTTGAGTATAAATGTCATGCTAACAAACCCACAAACTGAAAATACCAGAAAATAAGTTTTCAGATTCTAGTTTCCTAATTTTCTAACTCTCTAACTTGGGGATTCAGATGTTTGCTCCCTTTGTTTTACTTTTGTACATTGTAAAAGAAGGTTCTTCACGTTACTGGACATGTATTTGTACAAATAACAGTAAAAGAATTACAGTATAATTTTCTGTACAAAACCAATTTTTTTTCATACTTTTTAAAAATATATATGTGAACCAGAAAATAAGACAAAACAACATTTGTGTTAAAATAAATACAGAATAATAAAGTACTATGTGCTATATTCAACTTGTCTGCTGGATTCCTTAGATAGAGAACTTTACTAATCGGCTTTTATGTGAATGTTCCTGTAAAGTGCCCTGAGACAACTTTGTTGTGATTTGGCGCTTTATAAATAAACTGAATTGAATTGAATATGTGTTGTCATCAGTGCATGTTTCCATACTATGATGAAATTAGTTCTCTGCATTTAACCCATCACACCTGAGATACATCCAGGTGGAGCAGCGGACAGTTATGTAGGTGCCTGGGGAGCAGTTAGAGATTAGGTGTCTTGCTCAGGGACACCACGACATGCGGGCATGGCGGGGAATCGAGCCGGTGACTCTCTGGTCTCAAGTCAGCTGCCCTACCTCTACACCATCTCAGCCATAATATGTATTACCCAATTATATAATATTACTCAGTTTCACATTTTAAAGCTGCAGTTTAAGCATCTGGATGTGGAAACATCAAACATTAGACCTCCACGACTCAAAAAGGAAAATCAAACAAGATCTTATCATGTGCGATTAGTGAGGTCTGAAACTCGTCTGTGACATGAAGCTGAGATGTTGTCATGTCCCTGACACGGACACGTTGTCATTTTACCGTTTTTCTTTTGTGTGTGTGTTTGTTTTCAGAAGAGACGGAGAGGGGGTGCGTGTCTTCTGGGACCGGCTAAGAGAACCCTCCTTTGTCTCCAAATGGAACCCATTTGCCACCGACTTCCCTTTTATAACATTCACTCACCATCCTGTAGGGAACATCAATGACAGCTTTGCTGCTCTCTGTGATGTAAGTTCACTCACCAGTGAGGTTCTTGTTTCTTTATTTATTTTTTACGCCCGTCAAAAGGTTTTATGGTATAGTCTCCGTCCATTTGTCTCTAAACTTTCCCTTGCCCTGCCCATCACTTCTGATCTGATCAAGATAATCATACACACATCCACCATCACTTGACAGAACACTCCATCACCCCGCAGTGTTTCCCCTAGGGCTTTGTGGGTGAAGGACATTTTGGTAGGTGGAGCGCTCAGTTCTGTTGACGGCGGGGAGCCCTCCTTGGATGACGGTATGGTAAACACTGCCCCAGTTCCAAGGTAAAGGTCACAAATCAAGGTCAAAGTTAAAACAAGTTATTTTATTTTCTGAGCCATAACTTCTGATCTGCTCAAGATAATTTAAGGAAATGGGATACACATTTGTACCACCACGACACAACGTGTTGCGTTCACTTTTCATCACTCCAGCTCCAGGGCCAAGGTCACAAATCAAGGTCAAAAGTTATACAAGGTTTTTTGCTTGTATTAATACTGTATATAATAGTTTGTCCATGGACATATAATGAGCTGCTTGTGGTACTCTTGTTGTAGATGCTGTGAAAAATATGAACTTTAGCACAGTCACATCTCATAGACAGCGAAAATAATTAATTTGTAGCTCAGCATTTCTTCCTGTGAACATTCTGTGGGATTTCTGTGAAAAATCCACATACGTCAATGTAAACAGTTTAGATCAAGTTCTTTTTCAAAAGTCCAGTATCTCATAACAACTTGTAACTAAATGACAGTTTTAGGTTTATTTAGTTCCTCTGATAGTGAGAAAATTATTTGTAACTAGAGAGAGTTGTCGTATCAAGTGTTAGCTTTAAATCTTCTGTTTTTCAGCTTTTTTTAATGCAGGTGGAGGAGAGAGGTGTACTCTTGAGTTATTGTATGTAGGTTATGGGATTCTTGCTGTGGTTGAATGAATCATCACAGAAAAATGTATTACTGGAATTAGACATCAAAAAGTGTTTCTATTTGATTCGTTCTGTCATTTTCAGCTCTCAGAACTGACTCACCTGGATACATGAACTAAATTTATGATCTGAATATATAAACTGCCACTCAGACTCACTTACTTTAAGCCTGTACTAACTCTCGTAGTAGTAATCAAATAATTTTTTGCTATACAAAACTTTCACCTGTTAAATAATTTTGTGGTTTAGGAGTAAACAGCATGATTATTGTGCAGGTGTGCCTTAGGCTGGCCACAATAACAAGCCACTATAAATGTGCAGTTTTACTTTATCGGGGCGTCCGGGGAGGATCAGAAAGCCGGTCAGTATCTGGTGTGACCACCTCACGCAGTGCAACACGTCTCCTTCATAGAGTGGATCAGGTTGTTCATTGTGGCCTGTGGAACGTTAGTCCACTGCTCTTCTGTGCAAAGTTGCTGGATATCGTCAGGAACTGGAGCACGCAGTTGTATACGTTGATCCAGAGCATCCCAAACATGATCAATGGGTGACATGCAGTGAGTATGCTGGTCATGCAAGAACTGGAATGTTTTCAGCTTCCATGAATGGTGTACATATCCTTGCAAAATGGGGCCATGAGTAATCCTGCTGCACATGAGGTGATGGTCGTGGATGAATGGCACAACAATCGGATTAAGAATCTTGTCGTGGTATCTCTGCATTCAGAATGTCATCAATAAAATTCGCCTGTGTTTGTTCTCCATAGCAAATAAAAAAGAGCCTGTGCCTGTGGTTAAGATGCACTTATTGTTCCTTGTCACTCACCTTGTGGGCTGGATAATATGAAAAGCAATGTGCAGAATTTAATTTTGGTGTAGCTGCATGTAGGAATAAGAAAGGTCACTATTGAAAATTGGGTGTCCACATCTAAATCAAAGATGGCCACTGCCATACACGTATGTAGACCGACCGCCCCTGTCATTTGAGAAAACTATGCTGTCTGTTTTTTGTATGTTGCTTAAAAGTATAGTTTCCTCAAATGATTGGTGTGGCCAAAGATTATTCCCTCTAGCTCTGCCTTTGCTCCTGGTGATGGAGAAAATCACTTCCACTGTTCACAAGGATCCATCGCCTGGGACGAGCCAAAACAATTAAACCTTCCTCTGTTCTTCTACACAGTGCAACTCCTACCCACTTGAACATCTTGCACCAAAAACACTAAGGTGCATTTTCCCTGTTCAATTCCTGTCCAGAAAAACTCACCTCAAAAAATACAAACATTCACTATTCAAATCCCTCAGCGGCAGGGGACATTGGCGTACCGCTGGTTACCTTCAAATGATGTATACAACATGAGACGGACAACAGACAAATATGTGGTAATAAAACGAACAGGTTTCCTAAGAACTTGTCCAAATGAAGCCACTTTAAAGTGAATTTCCCACTGATCAACTGGTGGAAATAACTGGTCAGCTGATTAACATTCAAAAATCAACAGATTGGCAACAACATTAAACAAATATCCATCCATTATCTGTACCCACTTCTTCCTTTTCAGGTCACGGGGACACCCTTGACTGGTCTCCAGTCCATCGCAGGGACACAGAGACAAACGAGACAAACAACCATTCTCTCTTTCTCTCTCATCTAGGGACAATTTAAAGTTATCAATCAGTCTAACGTGCATGTTTTTGGTCTGTGGGAGGAAACTGGAGAACCGGGAGAAAACCCACACATGCACGGAAAGAACATGCAAACTCCACCCCGACAGGCCTCCGTCCAGGATGGATACAGCAACCTTCTCGCTGAGAGGTGGCAGCTCTACCACCTGTGCTACAAACAAATATACTCTGTGTTTCCCCTGCCATCATACAAGCAGGGCGCCCCGCCCTGTCAACAGAACTGAGTGCCCTGCCTACCGAAACACCCCCACCCCGGCACTTATGTAGTGCTAAACTAGCGGCCCATACATACAAACGCGCTACAAAGCTACAGTGCTCAGTTTCCCTCGTGCTGATCCGTCTACACCCCACACCCCTGCTCCAAAACTGTCAGTATAAACAGCATGCACAACACAGTCTAAACCCCCACCCCCCAACTAAAATTGAGGAAGGTATGAGCGCCCTGCCAAGGCAAGTAAACTAGGGGAAACACTGGTACTTATTTAAATTGTAAAATTGTTTTAGTAAAATATATCTGTGTCAGATTCCTCCTGTACTTTTCTGAGCTCACATCTGATTTCTGTCTGTGCATCATTAAGCACCAGATGGGCTTTATGGACTTTCACCCCTCCTACTCCATTTTCTCCATCTGTGCTTATTCACGGTTATTCTTGCTTTTAAGTTTTTGTTCAAAGCCATGATGCCATGTCTGGTTATGATTTCTAACTGAATCAGTAGTAACAGGTGAGACATTTCCTCCACCTCCTCTCTGTGCTCTCACTCTGCACCACACTGTGGCTCGTCAGGAAAAATATTTTCCCAGCAGGTTGAAGCTTTCATAAATAGCTCATCGCGTACGGTGATGATAAAGGTCATGTTAGAAATTTTAGCTTATTGCCAACCCCCAGCATAGTTCATGAACTCCTGCATTTCTGATCGTTGTGTCGCAGATCCAGAAATTTGCAGAGCAGCTTAAAGATGCAGCACTGAAAGCCCACACCCTAAAGCCAGTTCCTGGGAAAGCCAACGGGGTCCTGGTCCTTCAGCAGCCGATCTACATCGAGGCCTACGTGGGCGCCATGTCTTTCCTTGGAAACCAGAATAAACTGGGATACTGCATGGCTCGAGGAAGTGTTGGCTTTTAGACTCTTTACTGCCAGAATTCAAATACTTTAGTTCCTTGTGTGTGTTGAGTTTTTTCCATCTTGAATTTGTTTTGTTTGTTCACAGAAACATTGACCAAAGATTTTTTTGTCCAGGTTTAATTTTGCTTTACAAGATGTTTGCGGTCTAAACATGTGTTGCCTCCTCCTCTTCGTTTACTGGTCTGTGGTGTCTGTGGACTCAGAAATATCCACATTTCAACACCGCTCTTCACCGGTTGATGGATGCACTGCTGGTTCCAAGCAGCTTTTTTACTCATTGCTCCTCAGTGATACGGTAATTCAACTCTTCTGCAATGAGTCCTCTTGTCTTCCACCCCCGCCCGGTATTTCTGTTAAAAGCTCATTCTCATGCTGTTCAGCCACTTAAAGATTCACTGGAGCATAGAGGCACATTTGTCAGCTTCGTTTTTATCTTTGTGATTTTTTTTGTGTTTTTTTTTTTTTTTACAGTAGTGGTGGAATTTGTCCCTGATATGATTGTTTCCTGCATGGCACGCTGCCATTTTTCATTTTATTTATTTATTTATTTTATGCAACACATTGATTTTGTATGCCTATAACTACAAAAAAAAAAAAAAACACACACTTTTCCTACCTTTTTTCCTAATGATGTTCTAGGGTTTTCTGTTGTAAGTAAATTAATTTTAATATATAAATACAATTCTGTTCTGGTCAATTGTTTCTATTTCTGTGGCTGCTCGTGGCTCAAATCATGTTTAGCTTCAAACTACAGCAAGCATTCATCTATCTCCTGCATAAGAACAGCTGATAAATCTGTTTTTCAGTGAAAATAACTAAACAAACTCCGGTCGTTTAAAAGAAGAAGGACTCAGCCAATCTGAAACTGCATTTGTACTCTACTCTGTTACTTTAGTACCGGTACTTCTTTCTCTAATGATACTACAGTTTAAACATGTATTTTTGATGGTTTACATGTACTAAAACAACTAAATACATTGTTTTCTGCACATCAGCCGAATGTTAGCAGAAGTGCTGTGATAAGGTAAAGACAAAAAGGTGAATGTTTCATAAAGTTACTATATTGAAATAAATTACTTTACAAAAGCATGCAAGTTGTGTTATTCCTATTACCCCGTGTAAGAGAGGTGTTTTAAATTGCTGTACAGTTGTACATTTGGAAATATACGTGTAAGTTATTCAGAGCTGTGTTCTACCTGCATAATTAAAGGATTACAAAACGATCAAACTAATCTAGTTACATCAAGTCAGTGGTTCCAGAGACGGGACGCAACTGAAGGGCAGTTTCCTTTCTGTTATTTTTCCATTCAACCTTTATTAATACAGTTTAGTCTCAGTGAGCCTCCAGGACTCATTTACAAGAGAGACCTGTTTTAAACAAAGAACACCGATGAGGTACAGACAATCTTATAAAAAGCATATACCGGTAAAATGAAAAGTAAATAGAAGAAATTATATTAAGCGAAACAAAAAAGCTACCGGTACATTATGAAGCGATGTAAAATACTAAAAACAGGAAAATGTCTGCGTTGGTTTTTGACATGAAATTAGCAGCTGTTTAAAATCCCTTAGAGAGGTCAAGGTCGAGAGCTTCGGATCTTTTTGTAAGATATTCCAGGAAACAGGAGTGGAGTAGAAGTCCCTTTGTCTAGTTCAGTCCTCACTGAGGGAACACTGCATGTAATAATGTCCTGAGAGTGCACGCTGCAGCTGCACTGACGGAAGTGACATGTAGGAGGAGATGTATGAAGGCAGCAGACCAAGAAGTGATTTAAAGATGAAAATGTACCAATGAGAGAGTCTGCATGAAGTTAATGATGTCCAGTTAACCAGTGAATACAGGGTGCAGTGGTGTGTGTGGTAGTTGCAGCCAATTATGAATCAGCGCACTGTGATAGACGGTGTTCAATTTAGGTTTTGTCCAAAAATCCAACCTTTTTTTAAAGATGCACTTCCAGATTATTTATTGCAAACCAAAGCAGGAATGTCAAAATAAACGCTAGAGCTAATTTATATAATTCTTAATATTTGCTTATGATAAAATTGGATATTTAGTTGATATTTGTCAGTAGATTTGTTTCTGTAAAAAAAAAAAAAGACAAAAGCTTATTCAAAAATACCTTAAATATTTGAGTATTCCATGATCATGGAGACTACTTTGGCAGGGATCTTGTTGGTAAGCACCTGGTGGCTAAGTATGGCACCTACAACTTGTGTGGGCTCAGTCCAGGGCAGCCACAAGCCTCCATGTAGACCCACCAAAGGTAGTGGAAAATGTAACGATTGGGGTCAAAGTGAGTTTGGTGGTAGGTGAGTTCAGGGCACTTAGCTTGCCAGTTCCTGGTGTAACAGGCCATGGTATACCCCCATCCAGATTATAACTGCAGTTAAAAGGGCCTAGGCTACATTATATCCCAGGTATACTATGGTATGGTATACTATTTATATTCTGGGGTATAAATTTGTAATGAGGGCAATAAATTGGCCCAGGCCTATTCATGCCCATCAGGACAGATCATACCCTTATGATATCATCCATCCATTATCGTTACCCACTTCCTTTTCGGGTTGAGGGAGTCACTGGTGCCCATATCCAGCAGTCACTGTGTGAAAGGCGGGGGACACCCTGGACAGGTTGCAAGTCCATTACAGGGACACACGGAGACAAAATAAGACAATCATTCACACTTGCACTCTCACCTAGGGACAATTTAGAGTTACCAATCAGCCTAACATGAAACCAGCTACTAGATATCACAAGCCAGTGTATCTCTTATGCCGGTCCCAAGCCCATAAATGATGAGGGTTGAGTCAGGAAGGGCATCTGACGTAAAACACTTGTGCCAATATTAATTGTGAGTTCATCAAAGCAAGGCCCGGGTTAAGAACGACCAGTGCTGTTGACAAACAGGGTGCCGGCAAAAGTTGTGCTACTGTTAGTCAAAGACCACAAGGAGGGAAATGTGTCAAGAGACAGAGGGAGAAGAGGAAAGTCAAGAATGTAGGACTGAGGGTGGCTATTCTAAATGTGGAGACAATGACGGGCAAAGGTAAAGAGCTGGATGACATGATGCAGAGAAGGAAGGTAGATGTTTTATGTGTTCAAGAGACCAAGTGGAAGGGCAGCAAGGCTTGCAGCATTGGAGCAGGGTTCAAACTGTTTTATCATGGTGTGGATAGAAAGAGAAATGGAGGGGGGGCCTGAAGGAGGAGTTGGCAAAAAATGTAGTAGAGGTGAAGCGAGTCAGATAGGGTCATGTGTCTGAAGGTAGAAGGTCTGATGCTAACGTTGTTGGTGGTTATGTTCAACAAGTTGGATGTGATTTAGAGGAGAAAGATACATTTTGGAAGGAACTGGATGAAGTGATGGAGAATATTCCCAGGGAGGAGAGAGTGGTGATCAGAGCAGACCTGAATGGACATGTTGGTGAAGGAAACAGAGGGGATGAGGAAGTGATGGGTTGATTTGGTGTCAAGGAAAGAAACCAGGAAGGACAGATGGTGGTGGATTTTGCCAAGAGAATGGAAATGGCTGTAGTCAACATGTGTTTCCAAGAGGGAGGAACATAGATGACTTATAAGAGTGGAGGAAGGAGTACGCAGGTCGACTACATTCTGTGTAGAAGAGGAAACCTGAGGGAGATTGGAGACTGTACGGTTGTGACAGGGGAGAGTGTGGCCGGAGAGCATCGGATGGTTGTGTGTAGAATGACTGTTGTTGTGAAGAAGAGAAAAAGGGTAAAATCAGAGAAAAAAAATCAAAAGGTGGAAGCTGAAGAAGGAAGAATGTTGTGAGAAATTCAGAGAGGAGCTGTTACAGGTTCTGGATGGTAAGAAAGAGTTCCCACATGAATGGACTACTGCAGTAATAATAATTAGAGAGACAGGTAGGAAGGAACTTGTTGTTTCATCTGAACAGAGAATGGATGATGAGGAAACCTGGTGGTGGAATATTAAGTAGATATAGTAAATGGACTGTATTAATATAGTAACTTTCTTTCTAACCAAGATACTCAAAGCACTTTACAATACAATCTGTGCTTTTTGAAAAACTGGAAGGCCTCACGATTCAAAGCCATAAGTGTGTCCTGAAATGTGTCATTTTCAAACCCCATCCATGTGTTTCCTATATTCACTTCTATTCAAACATGAGTGACTGGTCAAAGAAAAGCAATGTAGCTAATAGAAAAACATTGACTAGAGTTCAACCTCAGGTTCACAGACCGCCTAACAGTTTCTTATCATTGTTCTGTAGAACTACTCCTTCAGTTTGGTGCTAAAACTTTACAGATTGTCTTGTAGACATCCTGTTATTGATTTCAATTTGCTGGTTGTTGTGTGTTATAAATTACACATGGAGCTGGAAATAAGCTTTGAAGAAGAATGGATATTCACAATAGTTTGGCACTTTGATTCAATCATGGACTTTTACCAGTAACCATGACAAAATCATTAGAGAGATAATCGGGCATGTTCATGCACTGATTGGTCTCTTCTGCATTAACACACATCAGGAATTCTATCAAAAGTGATGAATGGTAAAAAGAGATGTAATTTGAGGTAAATACAGAAAAATGACCCAACTTTGGGAGACGAGGTTAAGCAGTGAGTGACTCGGGAATACACACAGCTGCAAATCTTTTTAAATTATAAGGCTGAGTTCAGCACCTTTGGTGTCATGTATCATGACCGGAGGCTTTGAAAGGGTTAACGTGTTTCCTCCTGGAATGAGGACATGTCTCTTATCCCTGGATCAAGCATTGCTCTGGCCTGAAGCTAAGCACACCATTCGCATTACTGCTCTTCAGGTTGTAAAAAAAATGTTCAGAAAACAGGATTAACGAGCTGATAAACAAGCTTTCATAAAGTGTCTCAGCTTCAAAGGAGAGTTACAGTGCAGTCATCAGGTCTTCAGTAGAGTGGTGGGGGTTGGATTGTGTGCATTTTGTATTTGATTTGTCTGTAACACTCAGTTTTACCTGAAATAATTTTAGTCTTGTAATGAATTGATCTTTACAGCAGCTGGAGCAGTGAGATCAAGTATATAATACTAACCACATTAATTTTCCACTGGTTTTAAAGTTCATGTGACATCATGGGGTGTCATGCTCAGACTGTGCTGATAGTTCATGCTCATTAATCCAGGTATGAATCTAACAATGTCCAGTCAGGTCATCTGGATGGTTTCTTTTGCTGCTGAGACGTTTCGTCCTTCATCCAAAGGACTTCTTCAAGCTGAGGAGCCACCAAACCAAACTGAATCTTACAAACCGCTCACTTCCAGAGTAGAAAAAAAACAGTTTGCTGGTGACAAGATGGCCTCCGGGGCCTGCCTTCTACCCCATCAACTCATCTAAGGCAGCCATGCCAAAGTGGTTCCAAACACCAAAGTTCATGTTCAGTTATCCAGATATAAATCCAGCAATGTTCAATCAGGTCATCTGGACGGTTTATTTTGTTGCTGAGACGTTTCTTCCTTCATCCGAAGGACTTCTTCAGTCTGGCATGCTTTAGAGGAGGTGACGGGGGAGAGGGCAGGCCCCGGAGTCCATCTTATCACCAGCAAACTGTTGGTTCCACTCTGGGAGTGAGTGGTTTGTAGGATTCAGTTTGTTTGGTTGCACCTCAGAATGAAGAAGCCCTTCGGATGAAGAACGAAATGTCTCAGCAACAAAAGAAACCATCCAGATGACCTGACTGGACATTGATGTGTTGATAATAACTCTCAGCTTCAGTATATCAAATTTTAGCTCATTCTCTGTAAAATGGAGTGACAGCCATCTTTCTGTTTGCTAATCCTGATTAGTTGTGGCAGCTATTATGAATTATGGACTCTAAAAGGTAATTACTTAAACATGGACATCAAGGGTTTACTTTCTGAAAGTTTTATCCAGTGGTTCATCAGATATTTTGCTAACAAACAGGCAAAGGTCCTACACAATGTGTAGCACTTAAGTCTTTGTCATGGAAAAACTTCAGGCTACAACAAACACCAGATTTTATTGAATTTTATTTTATTTCTTATATTTGACAGAATTATAGACATGTTTGTTTTCTAAGGTCACAAACCATCGTAGATTAGACTGGCT